GACAACGATGAAAGAAAACGAAATTAGCCCTTATATATATTGATATTAATTATTAATTTTTCTCACGAAAAAGCTGATAGTGTCCCGATTTGGTAAAAATTGCGTATTTTCGGAAAATTGTATTTTTCTGGGTTGATCAAAAATTTATGCATTCTTATTGGCTGTTTTTATCATAACCAAATCGGGTGGGTTTACCATCATTAACTTTTATTTCTTTTGTGAATGTATTCTATATTCAAAGTATTAAATTAATAATTAATTGAAAATTACAAAAATATTCAAAATTTAAAAATTACCAGATACATGTATATCAAGAAAAATAAATTCACCACTCGCTTGTGCAACGAGAGTGAGACCAAGATACATCAAAACCAAGAGAAAGTTTTTTAATAGAAAGTTGATTTTTTTCAATATGATCTAAAACTTTTAATAGTGTTTCACGTGTATTTTCTTTAGCAAATTGAATAGTTCCATTAAACATGACTGATTGATATAGATAATAAGATCGATAATGACAATGCTGTTTGAAAAGCCTGTCGATTCATTCCACCTGCTAATGTGGCACCAGCTACCAAATGCGAAATATTAATTGCTGGTGCTTGATTGGTATGTTTGATGATACATGAATTTTTTCATATTCTAAAATAGAATTATCACATGGACTAGAAAGAATAAGTGACAGATACTGTTGTGTATTGACGAACAAAGTTGTGCCTAATTTTTTATCCGTTGTTGAATGTCATTAAAATTTTCTAATTCACCATCTTTTTTATTTGTAAACTTAGTAATTTTTTCTTTTAATCATTTAATTGTTCGATTAGCTGTGTATAGTGCATTATATTTCAACATTAATGCTTGAATACTTAATGGTGACAAGATTTTTTCTAAATGAATACCAAATTAAATATGTTCCTCTTCGTCATCAGTATTATCATATAATATCATATCAACTTCTCGTTTTTTTCTTTGAATACTATTTATAAGAGTATTTTCCTTTTGATAGCAGATTGAAGTTTTTTAAAAGAAGAATCAGATTGTGAAAGAGTCGTTGATGCCATAGACGGATATAGATTAGGAAAAACATTATGAAGTGCTATTTGCAAGAGTTTAGTAGTTTCCAAATGAAAAAGACCCAAAAGAGAATGAAGTGACATGTTTTGAAGTTTGTTTTGTCGAATAAATAAATGAAATCCTAAAAATTCTTTTTTATTTCTGAAAACGTTTCATCAGTTTCATAATCCTCCCAAAGAAAAATTAGTCATTGATTTTCTTCACCAATTATTAATTTGTAACAATGATTACTTGTTTTTGTATAAATTGTATAGTGGAATCCAGGTGCTATCCAGATTTTTAACGTGAATATATCCGAAATTTCAATATTTTTATCAAAACCTTTGTCCAACTGAAATTCACGAAACTCCTTATGAATGTCTAATACATAAAGCCTTTTAATTTCTCTAACTAGCCAACTGCCATTAGGACGTTTATAAGTAATTCTATCGCTTTTGTTGAACAAGTGCATTAGCCCACTTTGACATTAGAAAAAATACACGTAATAATAATGCATGGGAAAAAGTCGAAAGATTTTTATGTGCATGTATTACATGTATTTGTAAACGTGATTGATTTCTAATACGTAATAACGATGATGATAATCTAACGCTACAAATCAGAGTACATATATACAGTCCCCGTTGCTGCTGTTATTTTTGGTCGGGCGACGTTTTCCATTCAGTTTGCTGTTGTTGGTTGACCATATTTTGTGCTTATACTCTTCGTTAATAAATGCAGCTTCTTCCAGTCAGATTTTGGCATATATGTTTTTAGCGGTGGATTTCCTATCGTAGTAGATCTGTAGCTTGTGTTTTCCTGCTTGTTGGCAATTTTCGTCGGCGTCCCAGTCGTCACAAGTTTCCAAATTTGTAGTCAGTTATGATTCCTCTGAGTTACCGTTTGCGATTTTAGTTAGATCGAGCTGATATTATTGGTGCAATTATTGTTGCGATTTTGTGGTTCATGGAAGCATTTTCAAACGGAAATGGCTGGTAAATCCAATACTATCGTATCTCACATAAGATTAGCGTTATGCGTATTGGCACCGGTGGCTTACTTCTTTTAATGTCATGTTTTCAATTTTTAAACGTCAGGATTCTGTTTCGGGATTTTGTTTGAGTACGTATGTTGTTAGATTTAATCAGGATTCCTACGGATGATCAAGATATAACGATAGATTCAAAGTGCTGCGGAAACTTTATTACCATTTTTCTTAAAAATGGTATAAATAAATTATCTCAAAACTAAAATAATTAATAGGTAAACTTTTACCGAAGAAGCGGAAAGAATTAAAATTCCGTCGAAAAAAGAAAAGTTTTATCGTTATTCAAAATCTTTTCAAAAATAGCAATGATCATCACATTTTGATGACATCATTCCTATAGCATTCGAAAACTAACGTATCTTTATTCAAATAATACTGCGGATAAATTTTCTCAAAACTATTTTGAACAAGTTACCTAAAAACAAAAAATAACAATAAATATATCATCATCGAAGAAATTAAAAGACTTCAGAATTCCGTCGTGAATAAAAAAAGGTTTATATATTTTCTTAAATCATTCCTATTTTTGATATCATTTCTAACACCTTTGAAACTAACAATTTTATTCGAAGATTTATTGCAAGTAAATTGCTCAAACAATTGAAAAACTTAGAGTTTAACAAGAGTAGAGAGAAGAATTTGTATCAGTTTGGAAGCCATATCGATATCTATGCACTTTTTTTTGCCGATGATCAACACATTTTGATGGCATCATTCTCTATACCCTTAAACGGATGCTTCACCATACAATCATTTTTCGGAATGTGATCATGCCAAGATAATTGCAAGGTTTTCTCATAAGAAAACACAAGCTTACACCAGTAATAATTGAGATGATTGTTTGCCCATTGAAGTCAGTTCTTTTTAGCTTGTTGGGCGAGAAGAGGAGAGCATCTTGGCAATGCCAAGTACCTAATTGCAATGGAAAATTTATCAATTGTTGATCTTTTAATGCATACATCCATTGAATCAAAATAGTTGTCATATTTTGATTTCTGCTTGCTGTGCTATTATAAAATAACAATGTTTGATTGTAACGATCTGCCAATACGTCAACCATCTCTTGTGTAGTCAAAGTTGTTTAGCAATAGTTTCAGATAACTTTTTGGGATTTTTTCACATAATGAATCTGAACTTAAATAGATACGAAAACAGAAGATTCTTGTGGCGACCAAACTATTTCTTTTAGCCCTTGATTTACGTTATTTATTGCTGGGTGATTTGCTGGTGTATTGTCCCAACATTCTTGTAGAGTTTGACATATTTAGGGGAGCTCCAAATATTGTAATTTCTTTCTCAAGAATATTTTGATGAATATATCCACATTATTGGATGAAAGGCTCGAAATCACCCATAACTGTACGAGTTGCTTAGCGAGATAGAGCTTATCATTGCCACTCAATTTCGCAAGATTTGTATCGAAATACTCTTGAAGAGTTCCACCGTACTCAGAAATTTTATTTTATCTTAGTGATTTCATATTTGAATTGTGATTAATTTTGATCACGATAACGATAAGAGCGAGTAGAAGTTTTGTAAATTAAAAGTTAAATATTAAATTAAGTACTTCGTTAATAAATTTTCCACAAGAATTCCCTTTGACCTTTTTTTTTATGTAAAGGCATTTCAAGGCGAACGTTTGTCCGTCTTTTTCCAATTTTGATTTATATACTTCACCAAACGCTCCATTTCCAATTACATAACCCTTTATAATCAAAAAATTTTATTTTATTTTCTGATATCGCGGTTTCTAACCATTAACGAAGACGAAGATGACAGTTTTTATTTTTTTGCTCGTTAGCAATATCAATTCTTTATTTTGGCCAATGCAGTAATATCGTTAATCGCTATGATTTCTATTTGTGTGTGTAAATAATACCCTATAAGCCGGATTTTTGCCTGATTATTTTTTACAGGATAAAAGCTAATCGATTCGGATCATTCCAATAAATAGAATTTTATCACTATCGTTATCGTTATTATTTGTGCGTGTTTTTTGTATGAATTAAAAGAAGTTTTTATTTTTCGTCTTTTATTGACCCAATAAATTATGATGACAATTCTCTTTAAAGATGCTATTAATAAGCATACGATAAACATTGAAAATTAATATAAAGCGCATGTAATTGCTAGAATCAAGAAACTAACAAAAATGACATTATACTCTAATACACATGAAAAAAGTAAATTAGAAAGTGTTAAAACAATAAAAAGATGTGTAAACGTAAAGAAGTTGATAAACAATAGAAGCGTTTTTGGTCATTGTGCTTTTAATCAAAACACAGTTAATATCGATCTAATGTTTTTAGATTCTTAGGTCAATAAGTATAAAAGTTTTAAATTAGTTTCCATTTAGTGCAATTATGACACCCGACCGATATCTCTTCATTTTCTTTGATTTCATCGATCTCGTTGATTTTATTGAATAGCGCTAGTGGCTCGAGGATTAGGGTTTGTTTGCCGCCATTATTGAAAATTATAGTGATTGGTTTCTGATCGGACAAGAAGAGCGAGAGCATGGAGTAGAGCGAGAAGGAGAGTCCTCCCAAATAAACTCGAACTTTTTACTGGTTTTTCTCTATCCTTAGCTAGTCAACTTAAAAGTTCAATAGCGGTAGTAAAATAAACTCGGTCATTTTTCTCTGCTGAATATGATACTGGGAATGGAATACAGGAATGTTTGTTGATTGGTTGTGGATTATAGTATATATTTATATATTATATGATTGTACCAGGTTATTTTAGACCGCCCTTTACGCCGCAGCTTCCATTTGTCGCATCATAGTAAACAATTATAACGCCACTTTTTTGATACCCTCAGAAAATTTCTATATCATGCGATCACGGTTCCTTGAAAGCGATTCGAAACTAAGTTGATGGATTTTTCTTTCCAGTTAGTATATGATGCTATTGTTATTTGTTCCTGATAGCTTGAGTAGAGCGAGAGTGAGTGAACGCGAGAAGCGTAGAACAAAAAAAAGCGATACAACGACGTAGAAAACAGAAGCTGATAGAAACTTCTTGTTATGTTAGTGAGAAAAATTGCAAACATACTGTTATGTCTCCTCGAAAGTCTGTTCAACCGGCGAATAGATCACAACACGTTAATTATGAGTTAGACGAATGATCTACTAAAAGAGGGGTTCTCTTAAAGTTCTAAAGGTCTCCTGTGATGATTTTTACAAAAATCAACACTGATAAAAGGTGGGGGTCTTTAAATAAACAAAGGTATTTTTCAGATAAATACTAACTAGACTTTAAACTAACAAGTAGTATTTATTGATACGACCTACAAAACTTGAATCAAATATTCACAAATATCAAAAGCGCTTAAAACAAAAGGGTTGGACTTATTAATGCGGCCAACAAAAAAAAAATAAAATTACAAAATCAAGGTATGGCTTATTTACAGTAAAGGTCTTCCACTACTTGTACACAAGCTTTGAAGATGATCAAGGGGAAAGATTTGTAAACAAGTAAGTATATTTTACAAGTTGGCACTTTTATTGATCAGAGCATGTCTTTCACAGACTCTTTACACTTCTTCTATTTATACAGTTTTCGGATTATTATACTAATTACGGGATACTATACCAATTACTACGCTAATTCTAAGGTTAGTATTGTATTGTTACGGGTTAAGAATTATTTCGCTAACGCTAATCTCTCAATTTTGGTAAAATCCGCCTAACCCGATTTCGTTAGTTTAATTTCGCTTTAAAATTATATCTTTATTTCGCTTTTGTTTTCTATTTTATCTCGCTTTTGTTTTATATTCTAATTTCGCTTTTGTTTTTTATCTTAACTTCGCTTTTGATCTCGCTTTTATTTTCGCTTTTGATCTTGCTCTTGTTTTCTATTTCTTTTTCAATCTTAATTTCTCTCCTAAACAATAGAGTGCATTATGCAACAAGTTCCGAAACAATACTTCATAATGTAACCCAAAAAGATGTATATATAGTCCTCGCAGATGTTAATAAAGACGCAGAATTAATTTAGTCCAGAAAAGGCGTTGATATTGTTAACGGCATATTGATTGATTGATTGAAAAAGCGCTTTGTAATTGAACAGTTTAAGGCCTTTAGCTAGAAAATCTACGTTTGGAAGTTAATAAGAAGAATATTGTCAATAAACCACACATAAAACATAAAACTCGAAACCATCTCACCTAAAAAAAAACCCGACCCATCCAAACTCCCCTCTCTACCGTCATACTGAACGATATCCGTAGATATCGGCACAGGAATTAGAAACGAACGAATACCAGTCTAATCACTCACCCAACCCATTGTTGCAGGTAAAATCGTCGATTACGCCTAATCACGACCCACCCGTGACAGTATTCCCTCACGATTGACGACGTTGCTGTCCATATTCGGTAAATCTTACCTCATTGACAAAACAATGAAGTTTCTTTTTCGGTATATTTTACAGCATTCGTCATCGCTTTCCAACAATCCCCAACGCCTTATCATATTTACAGCATTTTCTCATCAGTTTTCGACACGTATTTTCATCAAAGAACCCCCTTTTGTAAATTGTTATAGCACGTTCTTCAGCAAAACAATGTGATATTTCTTTATTAGGGAAATATAGTGCCCCTTGGATAGTATAGTGTTCTTTTTAACGAACTCTACGATTGCTATAGTTCTTATTGTAACAATTGGTAAAAGCTTGTAATAACAAAAAAATTGTATAAAAGAACGGCCTTCGGGCTACTAATAAAGACATAATTCACATTGCGTACAATGGTTCTCCAAGCAAATTAAACTTATTCTCCCTCTAAGTAAATTATTGCTTGTAAAACTCTTCCCCTTTTACCCACGTTAATCGTGATATCGTATTGCTTGTTGGTTAGGTCCTTTACACCAGAAAAGACATTGTTTTCGTGTAAATTCGTATTGTTAAGTCGTACTATTATTGAGAAATCGTTCTAGTGTGATTATTTAAGGTTTTTGTCTAGAAAAAGCAACAATTCTTATTAATATTTTTAAGAGTTTAAGGCTTTTATCTATAAAAAGCAACAATAGAGAAATCCCCCGAACACTTACCTAAAACATATAATTTCTCCCCCAAATCAACATAATCAACAATGTCCATAGGTATCGGCACGGCTCTAGATACTGAAAGAAACAACTATTCAGTCTATTGATCTCTCCCATAATCTTGTTGCGGTAGAAATCCCCAATTCGCCCAAACAAAAACGAAACCACAACAAAGTGTCCGTTATAAACATTTTTATTAATAGCTAAAGTAATATTAAAAGTAACAAATGTCATAATACAAAAAAATGTATAAAAGAACGGCCTATGTGCTATGAATAAAGAAAAGAATTGAAATTGCGTACAATTCTTCTCCAAGCAAAAATCAAAACTTGAATACTTGTGTACCATTATTCTCTCTAATTAGAATATTGCTTGTAAAACTCTTTCCCCCTTTCCCTCACTTTAATCGTTATATTGTTTAATCGTTATATTGTTTGATCGTTAGGTCCTTTGTACCAAAAAAGGCATCGTTTTCGCGAAACCGTATTCATGTGAAATCTGATATTATGGTGAAAGTCATTTTTGTGTACGTAATTGTTATTAGATTTTTGTTATCTAGAAAAAGCAACGATTGTTATCAGTTTTATTTACGAGGCTTTTAGCTATAAAAACAACGATCGAAATTTCCCCCAAAACACCTACATAAAACACATCAATATTCTCTCCCAAAATCAACTGACGATATTCGTAGATATCAGCACAGACTTTAGATAACGAAATAAACTCCATCCAGTCTAATAGTTTCTCCCGAAAGTCTTGTTGCAGTAAAAATCTCAATTCACCCCCAACGAATCGTAACCACAGCAATACATACTGTACATGCGTAACATCGATAACAACGAAACAATGTCTTCGCATACTGAAAATGACTTGCTGAGATACGTTAAATTAAAAAAAACAAATAAAATTTTTGATTTTGATAAGTTCTCTGAAAAAGAAGTAATCGGCAATGGAGCGTTCGGTGAAGTCTATAAAGCCGAGTTAAAAGACGAAGATATAATTGTTGCTTTAAAATGCCTTTACATAAAAAATAAAAAAATTAGCAACCAATTTATTGAAGAGGTAACTTATTTAAGAGTTGAAAAAAATCTACTTATGACTTGCTAGTATTAATCGTTCTTCATTTTATAGTTGAAAGTTCTTATTCAAATTAATTATCATAAAAACATTGCTAGCTTTTACGGAATTACCCAGGGTAAATATATTATTTTTATCTTTTGTTAAAAATCTCTTTAATAAAAAATGTTTTTTTTAGATCCGATTTCTGAGAGATGCATGCTTGTTTCGAAATACGCTAACGACGGAACCTTGATGCAATATTTAAACACTAATTTCAATAAAATGAGTGGTAATGATAAATTGAGCTTTGCCAAACAACTCGCTAAAGGAGTAAAGTGTATTCATGATGCAGGCATCATTCATCGAGATTTGGTAATTTTATAGATTTTCATTATAGCGAGTCTTAATTAATTTTATAAATACTAACGTTAATGTTAAACTTTTCATTTATTAATAGAATCACAATAATATACTTGTTCATAAAGGAAAAATAATAATTTCTGATTTAGTCTATTCAAAGCTTTCAAATGACTCGAAAACAGATTTGAGCGTAATAAGTTATATCGATCCCGCATTTCTAAGAGATACGTCCAACTTTAGACGGAATGATAAATCTGACATTTTCAGCCTTGGTGTGCTATTTTGGGTTATTTCCAGCGGTCGTTCTCCCATTTACCAACATGGGTGTACTTTTTGTTCTTCGTCAGAAAAAGAAAAAATAATCCGCAAAACTCCACATAAATACGCTAAGCTTTATCAGGTATGCTGGAATGATGTACCAATAAATCGTCCAGATATCTATGAAATAAACAAACAACTTAAAGAAATAGAATGGCCAACCGTTTCGTCTACTTTAGCTTCAGAAGAACCAGATGATTTAGCTATTAAAGACTATTCAGACGCTATTACTCTGGATATTAATTTGGTCGCCGAAGATGATGGAAACAAAAACAACTCGGAGAAACAAAATCGGATAGAATTAGAAAATATAAACAATTCGGCGGAGAAACAAAATCAAATCGAATTGGAGATGTCAAATGATTATTATAAAATTATTGACGAATTAGTGACTCTATTAAATAATTTACTCAAAAAAGGGGAAGATTTAGATAAAATAGGTGCCGAACTACAATCGTATTATAACTTATACAATCAGAATTCTTTTGACATTCAGAACTATTTGGAAACTAATACTCAACATAAGCTACTTTTAGGGTTTCTTTTTCAAACTGGGTTCATAGTTGAAAAGAATGTTGTATTAGCATTGAAAATTTATGCAGAGTTATCAAGTGTCAACAATTCTTTAGCTCAATTCTTGCTAGGATATTATTTTCATGTAATCGGAAAAGATGAGAAAAAAACATTCGAGTGGTATTTGAAGTCAGCAGAGGGAGGTAATGTTAATGGACAAAACAATCTTGGTTTTTGTTATCGAAATGGTATTGGAACACAAAAAGATGAGAAAAAAGCATTTGAGTGGTATTTGAAATCAGCAGAGGGTGGTAATGTTAATGGACAAAACAATCTTGGTTGGTGTTATCGAAATGGTGTGGGAACACAAAAAGATGAGAAAAAAGCATTTGAGTGGTATTTGAAATCAGCAAAGGGTGGAGATGCTACTGGACAATCTAATCTTGGTTGGTTTTATCGAAATGGTATAGGAACACAACGAAATGCAGAAAAAGCATTTGAATTATTTTTAGAATCTTCAAAAATTAACAGTACTGGAGTATTCAATCTTGGTAGATGTTACTATTACAGCGAGGGAACTAA